CTCTGAGATCGCTCCCGGGGCCCTGGTCCCCCCATGGAGGCTTGAGGTCGCTGGGTTGGACCCTGGGAGCGCCTATCTCGTGTTATATACATACATATATATACATATATATGTAGCTATATATATAGATAGATATTTAGCTATATCTATATCTATATATCTATATATCTATATCTATATATATATATATATATATATATATTTGGGTGTGTATATATATATAGCTATATAGATATAGATGTATGTATATGCAGTGCGGGTTCGGCTGCAACACCACCCCGCGGGAGATCCGACCCCGAAAATCCTCACGCGAGGCACGCATCATCATACTCATCATCATGATGATGATCATCATCATCATCAGCAGCATCATCATCACCATCGTCATCATGATACCCATAGCCGTACTCGTCAGCACCAGCACCATAATCAACATCATGTATCACCAGCATATGTACGAGCTTGATCGCCATCGCATCATCATCATCATCAGCAGCATCATCATCATCACCATTGTTACCATCACCATCATACCACCAGTGCCATCACCGCCACCACCATCACCATCATCATCATCAGCATCAGCATCATCATCATCATCATCATCATCATCATAAACACCATCACCATCATCATCACCATCCTCATTATACGCATCATAATCAGCATCATCATCAGCATCAGCATCATCACCATCACCATCACCATCACCATCACCATCACCATCACCATCACCATCACCATCAACACCACCACCATCACCATCACCATCACCATCACCATCACCATCATCATCATCATCATCATCATCATCATCATCATCATCATCATCATCATCATAATCATCTGCATAGTCATCAACATCAATTTCATCAACAATATCAGTATCCTTTTCTCGCTCCTCCTATCTCCCTGCCGCCACCACCGGCGTGGATGTTGTCGTCGTGTGCGTCGCTGCGCTCGTTCGTCGTGCCCTTTCGTGCGTGCGCGAGGCCAGCCCGTACTCCCAATCCTCCTGATCGGTGCGCCCCAAGGGCGGCCTCCTCCGCCCCTCCTGGTCTCCACGGTCCGACACAGGTGTGGCTCCTCCTCTGTCTCCTTTCTCCTCCAGATCGCGATCGGTGTCCTCTAGCCCCAGAGCTGTGGACCTGGAGCCGTGGCCATCGACCCTCCTCCGAATCGATGTCCTCCTCGTCCTCCTCCTCCTCCTCCTCCTCCTCCTCCTCCTCCTCCTCCTCCTTGTCTCATCGAAGGTCGACCCCTGGACCTGTCCAGAAGTGCCTTCCGACTAGAAACTCGGGGGGATCTGACCGTGGCGACGAAAGGTGCTGCAGGAGGCCCAAAACGGCGCGAAGCTCTCGATCCTCGAACCTTGATGGAATGTTGCCGAACATGTCTCCCCTGGACAGAGGTGTCCTCCAAATTTCTGAGAAGGCCTGAATGGCACCCCAGAGCGTCCCCCTACGAGGCCCAACGGGCCCCAAGTGCTTCATAATGGCGTGAAAAGGCGGGGGGCACCTCGGGCCAGGGATGCCTTTGGCAGCCGGTGTGCCCCCCCTCTCGAGGCACGTCGGCGGCCCGCTCCTCGAGGCACGTGCGGTCGACGCGGTGCACCAGCCTATGGGGGGAGAGGGAGGGGGGAGGGCGCCGTTGCCCCGTGGGCGGGGGGATAGAGGGGGGGGAGGAGGAGGAGGAGGAGGAGGAGGAGGAGGAGGAGGAGGAGGAGGACGAGGAGGAGGAGGAGGAGGAAGAGGACGAGGAGGAGGAGGAGGAGGAGGAGAGGAGGATGAGGACGATGAGGACGGAGGAGGAGGAGGAGGAGGAGGAGGAGGAGGAGGGGAGGAGGAGGAGGAGAGGAGGAGGAGAGGAGGAGGAGAGGACGAGGAGGAGGACGAGGAGGAGGAGGAGGAGGAAGAGGACGAGGAAGAGGAGGAGGACGATGAGGAGGAGGGCAACGGCAATGAGGCATAGGTGCAGATCCACCTCGCCGCGCATGCGGCAGAAGGCTAGCTAGTCGCTATCGCCCTCCAACGGCCAACGGCCCTCGGCCTTGGCGTCGCGCTTAGCCCTCCTGCACTCACGGGCCCACTCGACAGCAGCCGTGGGCGACTCAAAACCGTGCAGGCGGGCAACTCGGTTGAGGTCCAGCATAAGGACGTCAACCCCATACTGGCGGAAGCTGGCGGGCTCCTCGAGAACCACATCGGGACCACCGAGCCCGCCAGCGGGCCCAACCGCACCGCCCCCAAACGACGCACTGGACCCCACCAGCTTCTCGCGCAGCCAACAAACATCCTCTTCCTCAAGGCCTCTGAATCCAAACAACTTAGGAGGAGGTTGAGGGGCAGACGGGTGCAGGAACCGCTTCAACCGCGAACGCTGGGACTTCATCCCCTGGTGCCGCGGCCCAAGGCACAGGCCCAAGGCCCTTGTTCGGGGGGACTTGCAGAAATACAGAATTTGCGAACCTGCTTCTACAGTAAACTCACACTTCGCAACCGAATGCCTTTGATACAGCCACGGCCTCCCAGGAATATCCCCCAGCTCCACCCCCACCCCCAAATCAGACGACGCGGGCTTAGGCTCTTCGGGGACAGGGACGCAGGCGGCCTGTGTCCACCCCATCTTTTCCCTGGCAAGGAGGACAGAGTCGAGGACCTCAGCACCTTCTCCCTGCGGAACCTCGAACTCGAAAACGACATCGGAGGTGCCTCCGACACCTTCCGCGTCCCATGCATCTTTGTCGCCCATCCAGGCGTGGACCTGACCGATCCACTGGACAAGCTGGCTGGCACGGGCCTCGCAGACCTCGATGATGAGGAGGAGGAGGACTAGTATAAACCCAAGAGTCATCAACGATGTTGGAATTAATCCCGCCTCCAGGCTCCCTCTTCATGGGCCCCTACAGCGGTTCATCTCCATTGAGGGAACTGCCTGGTTGGAGGACAACAAGTTGAAGACTCTGAAGCATGCAAAAACATGGTTCTCGGGATTTCAACGCCACGGATAAACCCGACTGCTGCGTCTTGACGATCCGGAACCGTGCCAAAACGCCATTTTTGAGACTTCAGAGCCGCGAATCAACATAACTGTTGCGCCCGCATAATCCTGAATCCTTCCAAAACACTATCTCTGGTGCGTTGGTCATGGGAACCAATGAAACTCTTGCACATGTTTAAAACGAATGTGCGCGGAACTAAGGCGAGAAACACATTTTGAAAAGGAGCCGCCCTCAATCCGTGAAGCCCTTGCACATTTTTGAAACGAATGTGCGCGGCGCTAAAGCGAAAACCACATGTTGAAAAAGAACCGCCCTCAATTCCTAAATCTCTTACAATTTCTTACAACGAATGTGCGCGGCGCTAAGGCGAGAACCACATGTTGAAAACGATGTGCCCTCGATCCGTGAAACTCTTGAGTGCAGCGGCAACGGCTTCTGGAAGTCCATCCGACCGATAAACCGATCAACCGATAAAAACTAATCGGTTGAACGGTTTGCAGACCGATCAACCGAAAAACCGATATAATTTGATCGGTTTATCGGTGGATCGGTCGCTCAACCGAAAAACCGATAATCTTCGTATGCGAAAGTAGAAGCGATTGCTGGCGCGCCCCCCTCTCTTCGTCGGTTTATCGGTTTATCGGTTTATCGGTTGACTGGCTGATCTGAGACAGCTGGGGGGGAACCTGTGGAGGCGATCCTTGTGCCGCATATCGGTTTATCGGTTTATCGGTTTATCGGCTGGTTGTCAGTCCCCCGCCACGACGACGACGGCGACGGCGTGAGTTTTGTGTTTGGCTCTGGTGCGGACGGCGCACCCCGCTCTGGGGCGGCTCGGCTTGATCAGCCTGAGTCTCTGGTGCGGACGGAGTCCCGCATGGGTCCGAGCATCTCCCGCCGCGCGCGATGCTTTGCGCGGGTAGTGCAGGGCCTGCGAGGGTCTCAGGCGACAGTGGCCGAACCAACTTGGGGCAGGGCATATGCGAGGTCGTTGTCTCAGACGAAAGTGGCCTGAAGAGGTCAGCTATAGGCGTCTCGGAAGCCGCTGTTGCGAGGATGTCGCAGGCGAAAGTGGTCGGACCGCCATGGGGTGGGGCACCTCCGGAGTCAGAAGTGCGAGGGCGCCCCGGGCGAAAGTTGTCTGAACATCGCATCCCGGGGCAGATCGGGGGTCAGACTATTTCAAGGCTGGGCACATCCCCCCCAGGTGAACGAGGCGAGTTTTTGCGTGGGCGGAAATGGCCAGCACAATTTGGGGCAGGGCATATCAGAGGTCAGCGTTGCGAGGATGTCTCAAGATGAAGAAGAGGAAGGTCATACTGATGATAATGATGGCGATGGCGGCAGCCGCGCGGGAGGCAGTATCTGGCGGGGCAAATTTCGGTGGGGGGCAAAATCTGGCGCGCCATTTGCGTCGGTCTGGATCACATTGTACGAAAGGGCGGACGGCGATCGGCTCCAGGAGCAGAGCCTCGACAAGACTCCGCGAGGAGCAGGGCCCCGACAAGACTCCGCGAGAGGGGAGGGAGAAGGAGGAAAGGGGAGGAGGAGAGGGGAAATGCGAAACCCCTAAAGCGCAAAGAAGGAGGGGGAGGGGGGGAAGGAGCCCCCCCCACCCCGCCTAAGCACGGTAGAAACCGACAACATACTAGCCCGAAGTGCCCTGCCAGATTTCGCTTCCCGCAAGACCGCCTGCGCGCGGAGCATCTGCAAATCGCAAGTCGGCAGGGCAGGGGGCAAGTGTACCACAGGACGGCCGGGGACAAACATGCCAGAGGTTGGCTGGGGGCGAATATATCGCAGGACGGCTGGTACCACCGACCGCTCTCTCCTCTGGCCGCCCCTCTGGCCACCCCCCACCACCGACCGCTCTCTCCTCCCCCTCGTCACCCCCCTCCAAGCCATCCACGTGCGTCCTCGACGGCGACGGCGACGATGGCAGGGAGCGACGCGCGTCATATTTGATAGGGCGCGACGCTACCCCTGCAGATGCGCCCGCCTCTCCGCGCGCGTCGGCTGGCCACGTCGGCGCGCCGGCGCGTCCTTCCGAAGCTTCTTGCTCCGCGCGGCGCCAGGCGCGCCGGCCGCGCCGCCAGCAGCCTCGCCCAGCGCATGCTCGGCGCTTTCGCTGCCGCGCTGGCGGGCCGCGCGCGGCAGCGCGCGGAGCAGCCCCCTTCGCCAGAGCGCGCTGTTCTCGTACTGCGCCCGCGGGATGCCCGGCGGCAGCAACGTGCGCTGCGCCCGCGGGAAGCCCTGCTGCGCATTCCGGGCCCCCAATGCCTCCGGCGCCTCCTCGGCGCACCGCCTCGGGCACTGGTCGCCCTCCTCGGCGTGCACGGCCCAGATGCCACCTGGCGCCCCTGGGTGCTCCTCCAGGCGGCCCAGGTAATCCTCGAACTTCCCGACTGGGTCCGTGTGCGCCGGAACTCCTCATCCGCAGTTTCCTTGAGCACCGTGGCGTGGTGCTCCAACCAGCCCGCGTTGCTCATGATACCTTGCATGAGCGCTTCGGGCTGCCAGCCCTCGCGCGACGCCACCGCGACGACTGCTGTGCGGAAGGGGCGCGGGGGCAGGAGCCGAATTGAGAAGCTGGGATCCATTCCCACCTCCTTGTGGTCCCTAGGGTCCGCCAGCATCTCGCCCAGCCACTGCTCGGCTGTCCCTCGGGTCCCCCGCTCGTCCTGCAAGCCGTTGAATAAGCCCGTCGGATGCAGGGCGGTTTGGAAAGCGGCGGCATTCGGCACGGCGTCGGCCCGTCGGAGGCACGGGTCTGGCACCGGGGCCCCGTCGCCGCCAGCCGCCGTGTTGTCAGTGAACGTGAAACCGAAATCGGCATCTGTGATGGCAGGGCCTTGCGGCCGCGACGGCTGAGACTGCGATGGGGATATGGACTGCGACAGCCCCCTGCCAATGGGCGACGCGGCCGGGGCGACGGCCCTGCCAATGGGCGACGCGGCCGCGACGATGGCCCCACCCGGCGACTCGGGCTGCATGATGGGCGAATCCGCCACGACGCGGGGGGGCGGCGACCTGGAGCGGCGGCTCTCCCTGGTGATCCTGCGCTCCCCCCCCTGGGTGAGGGGGGTCCGGAAGACGGCCGCGCGCCTGCGACCTGCTGCCGCTGACGACCCACTGCTGCTGACGACCTGCTGCCGCTGCAACCTGGCGGCCTCCATCGACTGGAGCTGGCGTTCCGCGGTCCTGCACTCTGGGCATGGAAAATTGGCGAAGTCCAGGCCGTGCACTTGCACGCGCGCGTTGACGCACTCTTCGTGGTAAGGCCCGCGCAGGCAACCCAGACGGGCGAGCTCCTCGCCATCTTCGAGTTCCCGCTTGCAGATGGCGCAAGAAGCGGCCGTGCCGATCTACAGCTATCGCCGCGGATCCGCAATGGCGTGGGTGGCCGCAGATCTGCAGCTATCGCCGCGGATCCGCAATAGGGCGCGCGACGCCAGCAGCTTTCGTCGCAGCTCGCGCTACAGTGATAACATGATACGGCTAAGACCGAGGGGGGAAGGAGAAGGAGGATGGGGGAGGAGGAGAGGGAAGGAGAAGGAGGATGGGAAGGAGAGGACGGGGGAGCTGGAGGCGCCCCCGCCAAAGCGCTGTAGAAACCGAAAACGTAGCCCGAAATGCCCCGCCATATTTTGCTTCCCACAAGCCCCGCCCTCCCCCCGCCACTCCTCCCTCCATCCTTCCTTCCCAACTCCAATCCCCCTCCCCCATCCCTATTCCCTCCACCCCTCCATCCCCTCTTTTCTCAAATGCCCCTTCCCGAATCGAATCCAACCCTCCCTCCCTCCATCTCTCCTTCCCGCCCTCCCCCCTTTCCAGTTTTTCTTTCTGGATGGGCCTGGGCACTGGGCCTGGGAGAGGAGGAGACAGGAAATTCGAAATTCCCCAATCCGAAAGAGGGAGGGGAGGGGAGAGATGAGACGTGGACCCGGGGTGGGGGACCCACGCAGCCTGGCTACCACGCCGAATGCTCGCCGCCATGCCCTGGTTTTCGCACCACATTTGGCCTCCGCGCCTCCGGGCGCGGAGCGGGCGCGCCCTCAGGTCCTTCGCCCAATCCCCTGGGCCTCAGGAGGAGGGAGGAGGAGGGAAGGGGGGAAGGAAGAAGAGGATAGGGGGAAGATGAAGGGGACGGGGGATGAACACGGGGGAACGGGAGGAGGAGGAGGGGGAGGAGGAGGAGAAGGAGGAGAAAGCAGACGGAGCCAATCGCCACCAGTCCAATGCCAGACGGTCGGGGGCAGCTCTCACCGCGCGCTCCACGGCGCGGGCAGCTCGCGCCGCTGAGCGAGAATCACAGGCAGCTCTCGCCGCCCAGGACCCCGTCGCCGCGCTTGCAGCTCTCGCCGCTCAACAGCGCCCGCGCGCGCCAGCGAGACGGCGCAGCTCTCGCCACGCAAACCGCCTCTTAAAAATGCCCCGGCCGCTCGCGCGAGCGACGGGCGGGGGCGGCTCCCGCCGCCGGACCGCTCGCGCCGCTGAGCGAGGATCAAAGGCAGCTCTCGCCGCCCAGGACGCCCCCGTCGCCGCGCCGGCGGCCCCCGCCGCCGGGCCGCGCCCGAACCCGCGGGCGTAGGGGTCGGGGCCGAGTCGCCGCTTGGTCGCCGAATACAATAAAGCTTATCCAAGGCCACTTGTCGCCGCCCACGCGCGGCGGCGCCCAGATGCCGAACTCTTCCGACGGCGAGAAAACTATGATGAGGCCGCCGAGGATTCGGAACGACCTGTGCCCGAGCACAAAGCGCACCTGGGAACTCGCGGGCGCTCTGTCAGACTGGCACAGCGCAGCCACTGCGAACTTGAACGCGAATCGCAATTTGCGCAAACAGCAATGTTCGCACGACGCGCACCCGCGGCTAGAGCAGGTCGCACACTGCGTTGTACATGCGGAGTGCGCCCGCCAGTGTCTGGAAGAAGTCGCGGCCGGTGGCGCGTGAACCACGCGCGGCTCACCGGGCGCCGGCCGCTTGGAACGGCAGTAATTCTCACCCCGCTGCACGAACGCACTCCCGCCTTGGGCCAGATAACGGGAATGTGGCAAGCGCTTGCTAGAATCCATGCCCATGTTGGTCATGAATTGCGCCGCGTCCGTCAAAGCCTTCGTCTCGAACAGCGAGTCGATGAACGCGGCGCAGAGGAGCAGCGCGCCGACGCTGCAACCCTCGGGCCCCGTCCACGCACCTTTGAAGGAGCTCCAACCGCAAGTGTAGCAAGCCCCGCTGATGTGGGGGTCGGGCACGAAGGCTTGCCCCATCCGGAGGTAGCACTGTTTCAGTTTATCCCCCGCTATCTTCATATCGGCGCAAAGGGCAACAGGCAGTCCTTGAGCAACAAACTGAACTGGCGCACGGTTGGGATCAAGGCCCAACCACTGCGGCTCAACCGCGAGCGCAGAGGAAGCGCCGACACAATCCCTCACATGGGTGGCCCAGCATGGCTTCCCGACTCGCCGGTCGCACAAAGAGCAGACGATGACGTCCCGTTGGTTTAAAGGCCCGGGTGGTTTATCATACGGGCCGCCGCGCATGGCTGAGAGTTGCGCCCGGATCCGCAACAGGACACGCGACGCCAGCAGCTTTCGCTGCAGCTCGCGCTACAGTGATAACCTGATACGGCTAAGACCGAGGGGGGAAGGAGAAGGAGGATGGGGGAGGAGGAGAGGGGAAATGCGACCCCCAAAAGCCCAGAGAAGGATAGGAAGGGGGAGCTGGAGGCACCCCCGCCAAAGCGCTGTAGAAACCGCAAACGTCCTAGCCCGAAATGCCCCGCCAGATTTTGCTTCCCACAAGCCCCGCCCTCCCCCCGCCACTCCTCCCTCCATCCCTCCTTCCCAACTCCAATCCCCCTCCCCCATCCCTATTCCCTCCACCCCTCCACCCCTCCATCCCCTCTTTTCTCAAATGCCCCTTTCCCGAATCGAATCCAACCCTCCCTCCCTCCATCTCTCCTTCCCGCCCTCCCCCCTTTCCAGTTTTTGTTTCTGGATGGGCCTGGGCACTGGGCCTGGGAGAGGAGGAGACAGGAAATTCGAAATTCCCCAATCCGAAAGAGGGAGGGGAGGGGAACAAGAGAGGGGAATGGGGGACGGATGTGAGAGTGTGGGCAGGAGGGGAAGAGGGAGGGAGGACGAACTCCCCAGGAATGGTGGTCAGCTGGAACGCCGAGAAGGGGCTCACGGGGGCCGCGGCCCTGTGCGCGCAGAACCATGGGCGTCGGGGCCAGTGAGGGAGGGAGGGAGGAGAGGGAGGGAGGGAGGATCGGAACGGAGGAGGAGGAGGAGGAGGAGGAGGAGGAGGAGGAGGAGGAGGAGGAGGAGGAGGAGGAGGCGGAGGCGGAGGAGGACTAGGAGGAAGAGGAAGGGGAGGCGGAGGAGACTAGGAGGAAGAGGGGGAGGAGGACTAGGAGAACCATGGGCGTCGGGGCCAGTGAGGGAGGGAGGGAGGAGAGGGAGGGAGGGAGGGATGATCGGAACGGAGGAGGGAGGAGGAGGAAGAGGGAGGAGGAGGAGGAGGAGGCGGAGGCGGAGGAGGACTAGGGGGAAGAGGAAGGGGAGGACTAGGAGGAAGAGGAGAGATAATTTCGAAGGATTACCCATTGGACAACCACGACAACGCCGGGCCGATAAACCGATTCACCGATCAACCGATAAACTGAAACATCCGATATACCGATAAACCGATAAACTGATGAAACCAAGCTGTGCTGAGATTCGGGCACGCATGCGATGAGTCGGTTTAGTGGTTGATCGGTTTATCGGCAGATCGACCGATAAACCGATATAATCATATCGGTTTATCGGTCGATCTGCCGATAAACCGATCAACCGAAATAGTTTATCGGTTGATCGGTTGATCGGTTTTATGTTCGTGTCCTGCGGCTGCAATCAAACTCTTGCAATTTTTTAAAACGAATGTGCGCGGCGCTAAGGCGAGAGCCACATTTTGAAAATCACCTGCCTTCGATCCGTGAAACCCTTGCACATGTTTAAAAGGAATGTGCGCGGCGTTCTGGCGAGAGCCACACTTGGAAAACGACCCACCCTCAATCCGTGAAGCTCTTGCAATTTTTTACAACGAATGTGCGCGGCGCTAAGGCGAGAACCACATTTTGATAACGACCCGCTCTCCATCTGTGAAGCTATTGATATTTTTAAGCTTCAGAATCATAGATGGTGAGGACGTCTCAAGCGAAACGCCCGGCCCGCCCTAAAAACTGGCCTCGGGGTGCGACACGGAGAAGTTATCGATAAGGAAAAGGAATGAATGATGAGGAGGAGGAGGACGATGAGGAGAAGGAGGAAGAGGAGAAGGAGGACGAAGAGGAGGAGGAGGACGAGGAGGAGGAGGAGGAGGAGGAGCTGGAAGGAAAGCGGAGAAGGGGGAGGATGCGGAGGGGGATGACGAGGAGGGGGTGGAGAAGGGAGGGAAGGGGAGGATGAGGGAGGGAGGGGAGGAATGAATGACATGGACCCTCCACGATGCGCATCTGAACTCGCCACTCTGCGTACCACCAAACCGTCGAGGGGACCGCGATCGAGACGTACCCGTCCGCGAGGACGAGATGCGATGCCAATTCGCCCTTGCGTAGAAAACCGTGATGTCGATCGGCCACAGCATATCCGAGACGACCAGGCATGTGATATGTAATCCTTTGACAAGTGACATGTGCAAGCAACTCATTTCACCTTGATTCCAGCAACCTGAGGACTCCGAGTAGCGCGAACGAAACACATTGATGCCACCTGAAACCAGCCCCGCGGAAGCGGGCAGTGTGTGCTTTGGCGCCCACCCAAAATGCGGCGGGGAACCCAGATTGGTGCCCACTTGCGCTGTAGCACGCGTGCGCATAACCTACATCCCAGACCTCCGATCGCGTCTTGGACCCCACGCGGAAACGACCTCCGAAACCCTCCTGGGGACCACCCTGGCTTGCCTTCGGAGCCTCGCCCAGCCTAAATGACGAGGTGGCTACCCGAAGTAGACCTCCCCCCCGACAACAGAAACACAAACCTTCGAATTTCCGCGCGGATTTCTGGGGTCCTCTCCGCACCCCTTCCCTGGCGCGCGGAAAGCGCTGGGAAGCGCCGCTGGAGGCGGCGCCCAGGTGTGGCGGGGAGGGGGACTCAGCGCCGATCCCAAAACCTGCGTGAACCTCCGGAAACCTGTGCTCGTGCGGCTCTCCGCGGGTGTGCCCAGCCGCCCGACTGGGTCCGGCTGCGCCAGGGGCAGACATGAGGGTAGCCGCTAGGTCCGCTGGGCTCCCCACACCCACCGACCTGCTTCTCGCCGAGCGCGTTCCACTACTCGCAAAGTGCCTACTCGCCAACGCCCGAAAAACACCTGCCTGCTTTGATGGAATCTATCGCAGATTGCCCGCGCGGGATCCAGGCCAACTGCTAGCAGTTCCTTTGAGAGTAGTGGAACGCGCTCGTCGAGCTTCCTTCCCTCTCCTCCAGCGGGCCGCAGTGTCGTGCCGGGTCACTGGCGCGGGCGCCTCCCGCGCTGGCGCTCCCTGGCTCGGCCGCTTCGGCGGCCCCGGCTGCCTGCGTGGTCGCCCCCGCAATGCCGGCGCTGCGCGGCCCTGCCGGGCGCCGTGTCGCTGCCGCATGTGGGGCACGCCGAAGCGATCATCGAAGATCGTCCCACGACCCCGAAATCTCCGCTCATTCTTTCTTGGCCACGCTCATTTTTTTTTTTTTTTTTTTTTTTTTTTTTTTTTTTGTTTTTTTGTTTTTTTTTCTTGGCCACGCTCATTTGTGCCGTGTTCACCCTGCTGGTCTGTGTGCCGCGCACCCACCGCCTCCCCTATGGCTTCCGGGCTCCTCTCGTCCACCCCTTCGGCCGGCTCCCGCCTGGTCGCCCGCGGGCTCGACTCATATGGGACCGTGCCGCCTACTTGCTGCCCTGGGTTGCCTGTCCGTGCCGTTCCCCCTCTTCCGGCCGCTCTCCCGCCCTCGCCACCCCTCCCCTCGTGCCCCGATTTGATCCAGCGCGCCCCGCCGCTGCCCGCACGCCGTCTTATCCCTTGCGACCGCCGGCTGAAATAAATCTGTGCCGTTCCATGGATTGCGCTTTGGTGAAAAATGTGGTCGTACCTTCACTGGAACTGTGTACTGTCCATGCAACCCGGACTTTCCTTCGCATGACTTGCGTGCGCGGTCGTCTCGGAATTTCGCCACCCGGCATCTCATGAACTCGTCACACCCTGGTACGGCCACATGTGTTGCCCTGCCACTCCCGGTTCGCTGCCCGTGAAAGCCTGTGCTCTGGTACACACGTATAAGATCTTCACGGTCTGAGCGTGCTCCGTCGCCCGCGGCATCCTCCCCCCGCTCCTTTTCTGTCTTCTCTTGTGCCCAATCCGGCTCCGATGTGTCCCTTGAATTTCCCGACTGCGTCTTGGACCCAAGCCGCCGCTGACAGAACAAGTGTTCATGCGGCTCTTTGGTCTTCTGAAGAAGAGGGGGACGAGTCTCGAGTGACGAACATATGTATGGACAGCCAAACGCGACTCCATTGATACGCAATCCTGTGGGTAGATTTTGTAGGATTCCCCACAAAACTGGCCTGCACCCATGGGATCTCGGCCGAGAAATCTGGTCGGGGGTTGCCTGAGGTGTCCTGGCTTTTAAGATGCCCCCAACGTCTCGGGCCACGTTGAGGCCATCTGGGTCTCCCTGGATGGCCAGGGCCACCTCCGGCAGCACCCGATCAGGACCGCGAGGCCGTGGATACGGACATGTCTCCCGTCAACGGCGACAACGACGCGTCGACGTCTCTGCCGCACCACCGTGGGAAACGCCAGCCCGTCCCGTGGGCCTTCGGGCTGCACCTCCAAGCAAACCGACCCCGCCGACGTCGACCTCTGGCCCAAGGACCGCCCCTTTCAGCCGCCCTCACCACGGCCGCAAAGGCGCGGGCGCCCTGCCGCCGTCTGCCGACCGCCCCGCGAGCTGCCGCCCACTCACGCGGCGGCGCCGCCTGAGGGGGGGGGAGGATGGGAGGGGTGTTCGCTGCCCGCAGATGGAGACCACCTCCAAAGGGGTCGGAGTAAATGGGGTCGGAGGATCGTACAGCATCGTCGAGGCGTCGGCGACGTCTGGGTGGAGGGGAAGTGGTCGTCTTCGGCCCCACTTGGGCGGCCTGGAGGAGACGGGGGGAGGGGGGCGGTCAGGCAGGGAGAAGAGGCACATGCATGCATGTATGCCAACATATACACACATACATGCGAACATGACATACGTACGCACATACATACATCCATCCATCCATCCATCCATCCATCCATCCATCCATACATACATACATACATATATATAGAGAGAGAGAGAGAGAGAGAGAGAGAGAGAGAGAGAGAGAGACACACATAAACAGAAACATAGAGAGGCTCCCCCTCCCGCCTAGCGAAGCCTTCTGGGGCCTCTGGGGCTCCCAGGAGCGCCTCTTGGGGACTCATGGGCGCACCTGGAAGGTCTCTTGGAAGACTTTGGACGGGATTTGAAGCTCTCGTGGGCCTCGGGCGGCCTCTTGGGACAGCTTTGGCGCACAGGACGCTGGATACAGTTGGCCTTTTTGAGGCTTGGACGGTCTTGAACTGCTTTTGGGGCCCTCTTAGGGCACTCTTAGAATCCTCTGAGAAGCCCACGGGGCCCTCTTGGGCCCATCGTGGGCCCGTCTTGGGGCTCTCTCGGGATCATTTTGAGCCTATCTCGAGGCCTCAAGAGCCCTTCGGGAGCGAAACGAGTGAGAAGACATACCCCATCTACCTTCCTGAAGTGTTCGAAGGGTGCTGATCACTCGGGGGCCCTCTGAGCGGCGTCTTGGGGTGTCTTCTAACATCTGGCCCGATCTGTTTTTGTCTGGCCATCTGGGGCTGTCTTGGAATCCACCCCACGCTGGCTGCGTGGCCGCCTGTCCACTGGAGTTATACAACCGCCTTGTTCGGGTAAGTCCTCCCCTGGGTCTGGACGCGGGATGGGGGGCGCGACAGATTCGAACGTCCACGGTGACTTATGTAGCACAGATAGCCCAAGACGGTCTCCAGCATGTCCCCCAAGAGGCCCCTATACTGACGAACTAAAGGTCAAAGTGGCGTCGGACCCCCCTAAGGATAGCCTCGTTAACCAACATTCGAGGTGTGTATATGCACGTGACCATACATACATACATGCACACACATATGTATATGTATATATATATATATATGTATCTCTCTCTATATATATATATCTATATATAACACAAGCACGTGCGTGCATATTATAACCTCGCGCGAGCTTCGCGCGCGTTTAGGTTCTAGCAAACCTACAACTGCACGCCTGACTTTAGTGGTGGAGGGAGAAAGAGGTGGTGACGTTCTAGTTATTAATTTATTTTATTTTATGTTATTATCCTTCTTCTTCTTCTTCTTCTTATTATTATTCTTATTATCATTATTATTATTATTACTATACTATATATATACACACTAGAACCATCGCGCGCGCTCAAGTTCCAGCTAGGCTTGATAGGCTAACTCATGTAATATCATTTTGGTCGCTTCTTGCGTCCAAAGACTCCCTTGGAGGCCCTGCGCAAGCCTCGGAATCACGCAGAAATCATACATTTCCTCGAGGTATTCAACGATTTGGGGCCCTCAAAGGCTTCCTGGGTTCTTTGTTGGGAGGTGAGGGGGGTCTGAACTGTGGTCTGTTGTGCAAGAGTAGACCAGGGGCCAAACTTGAAAAAGAAAGAAGAAATTGTGGGATTTCCATTTTTTTCCAATTCCTCGGCGCTGTTCGGCGCTGTTTTTTGTTTGTGCCTCGCGAGTTTAGTTAGCCGGGCCCCTCAGGGGTGTGGGATCTTCCGGACCCCCTGGGAGTTCTGGAGGCCTCCTGGAGGCCTCGAGAGCTGTCGGAAGGGTGTCTCGGGCTGCGCGGGAGCGTGTTGGGCCGTTCTTTACGTTCTGGGGGCTCCTTGGGGTCGTTTTGGGCTGTCCTTGGGCGTCTTGGGGGCCCCCGGGAAGCCGGGAGGCGCGGTACTGGCCAGATGTCAGGGGATGTGTGGGATCTCCGATTAGGAGTCCCACTTTCAAAAAAAGACAAGGCATTCTGGGAATTCCCTTTTTTAAAAATCCTCGATCTTCGAGGGTTGGAAGCGGGAAAATGTGAGAAGGCGAAAATCATTAGAAAAAACCATTGGGAATCAACGATTTTACACTCTTTGGGCTCTCTGGGGATGGCTCTCGCAGCTGTCTTGGGCTGCTCTTGGAGCCTCGTCGGGGTCCTTATGGGGCCTCTCAAGGATCGGGGGTGTGTTGGGGGCCTCTGGGGGGTCCTGGAGGCCTCTCGGAGGTCTCTGGAAGCCTCCTGCTCCCGCTCTTGGGCCCATCTTGGGCCTGTTCTGGGGTGGTCTGGGACTGTCCTGGGCGCCTCTTCGGCAGTCTTGGAGCCTTCTTGGCCTGTCTTGGGGCCGTCCTGAGGGTCTCTTGGGTGGTCTTGGGGCGGTCTTGGGCGGCTCTTCGGCGTTCTTGGAGCGTTGGAAGCTCGAAAACGCGAGAAGGTAAAACACATGGGAGAAACACATGACAATCTGCGATTTTGACCTCTTCGGGCCGTCCTGGAACGCCTCTCGGACCTCTCTTTGGGTCTCCTGGAAGCCACGTGGGAGCCTCGAGAGTCGTCGGAAGGCTAACTTGGACTGCTTGGGAGCGTCTTGGACCATCCTTTCGCATTTTGGGGGCTCCTGGGAGGCGTCTTGGGCCCTCCTGGGGCGCTGTGGAGGCTCCCTGGAAAGGCAAGGGGAACGGTACTGGGAGCGTCCCCGAGATGTCACGGGGAGGTGTGTGACCCAGGGGGGGGCGGTATTGATTATTATTATTATTATTACTATTATTATTATTATCATTATTATTATTACTATTATTATTATTACTATCATTATTATCATGTTTATAATGATTGTTATTATTATCATGCTTATTCTTGTTATTATTATTAGTAGCATCACCATCATTATTAATTATTAGTGTTATTATTAATCTAATTAGTAGTATCGTTAGTCGTACCATTATTGGTGTTAATATTAGTATTCGTATTATTCTTATTATCACTATTATTATTCATCATTGTTATTATCATTACTCGTCTTCTTCCTATTATTATTATTGTTATCTATATATAGGTGGGAATATGTTTTAATGTGCACGTGCGATTTTGTAATATACTCGAGTCCTGAGGGCCTCCTCCCTCCTCCACCGTCTTCTTCTCCACTTTCTTCTTCTCCTCCTCATCATCCTCTTTCGGCGGCAGGCTGAGCAGTTGCCCTCCTGGGTATGCCCAGGCTAGTCCGATGCTTGGCATAATTGCTGCCTCACCCCTATGTTCCACTGCATGCTCCTACACTTTCCTGATCAGGGTAGCTCGCCTGCCGATCGTCTCTGGGCATACCGAAGGGGCGTGGGGTCAGAGGGGGGAGGCTTGAGGCGAAGTGGGAACGAACATTGAGGAGGCGGCTCCCGGGGAGGGGGGGGGATGGGGAAGACGGCGGGAAGAGGAGGATGATGAGGAGGATAAATAGGAAGAGGAGGAGGAGGAGGAGGAGGAGGAGGAGGAGGAGGAGGAAGAGGAGGAGGAGGAGGAGGAGGAGGAGGAGGAGGAGGAGTAAGAGGAGGAGGAGGAGGAGGAGGAGGAGGAGGAGGAGGAGGAGGAGGAAGAAAAGGAGTAATAAGAGGAGGAGAACATTTTTTTTTCGCACGAACCGTCCCCTGACGATGGGTGACGGCAACGAACCTGCCTTTGGATGGCTGAAGAGTGAGCCCACGGTGGCCTACGCGAGAACGAAAGGCCAGCGAAGCCACGAGCTCAGTCGGAGTCGCCAGACGCCGCGGGACTTCCATGGGCAGCTCGAACCAGAAGGGCCACGTCCTCTTTGAGGGGGATGCTGGACTTGCTCGCTAGACTGCACCCCCTCCCCATTGGGCGAGGAAAGAGCCTGGGAAAAAGGAACACCTGGGACAGGGGGCTTGCCGCACGCCCTCCAACAGCATGGAACGGTGCACGACGACACGGCGCGAAGACAAATCCCTGTTTGAAGGCGGGCTCGTCCGATCCCCCCGCCACTGAAGGTAGAACTGCGGGGGCCTCGGGTGTCTCATCCTCGCCAAGCAAAAGGCCGGCCTCGACGTGGACCTCTGCTAACCGAGGGTGCTTCCCGCGCTTGATGCGGGACCAGCCGTCTCTTTTCTTCCGAGTAGGCGTGCGGTTGTACACCACACCAAGGAGAACCAATGGGCCCATGGCGGTGTAGGCCTTACAAGTGACGCAAACAATAAAGATGATATTCGCCAGGGCACTGAAGCAGAATCAGCTCGTGACCCCGAGAGCTGAACCCTTGGTTGGCCACAGAAACGCGTCCAAAACACTCCGAAGCAGAATGGCGGCCGTCTTGGTGCTTGTACCTGAGTCGGGTGGATCATCTCCAGTACGTACGATGCCACACACAGTCATGGTGCAGACGCAGCGCTAGACTGCTTTGGCTTCTTGGAGAGCTCCAATCCAATAAGGTCGAGTCTGGGCCACAAGTGCAGGAACCCTGCTCAAAACCGCACCGCAGACTTCGCTGCTCGAACCTGTTTCTTTCAATTGTCCCTCTCGCTCGCAGATGGCACCATTACCAATTCTGCACGAAACGTCCTGATCGGAGTGGACGCGTCCGTCCAGAACGTGAGCCTCAACTTTCTTAAATTCCTCCCGACGGGCTCCCACAAAGAAAAAACATTAAACCTACAGACGGCCTGTTGCAGGACAGCTGGGTGTCTCGGGAACGCTCCTGGCACGCGCAATTTTGAGACAATCGGAACACCCCAGGGGCTTCCCCAAAGTTCATTGAGAAGCGGCCTCGAGGGACACCACAAGGCCCATACACAATACACGCCAATTTACCCTGGTGTTTTCAGGGGCAGCCAGAAGGACGCGAAGACGACCAAGAGAGTGCCAAGGCAG